AAAAAAGCCTTTTCACTAGCACCTGGAATGGTCATCTCACTGTGGTACCCTTTGTTTCCACCACACAAATCCCATCACTGAGGGGCCTGTCTCTGCACTGAAGGTAATTCTGGGACCAATACTATTTCCTTGGAGAGACATATGCCACCATGGAGCAGGTGTAGATAACTCCTTCAGTGTCACAGACTGAACAAGTGCTTCCCTCTCTCTTCTCCATGAACAACTCATAGCCCTAAATAAACCAAAAGCAATAGGAGCAATTTAGTGTTCATCACCACTTCAACAGAAATGTGTGGGAGTCCAGGAAGATGCTTTGTTTTTCCCAGTCTAACAAGCAGGGATCTGGATTTTTTCCTTCTCACACCACACTGGCGTTTTAAACACTGATTTTGGAATTTTTAAACAGAGAAAAACAGGACCCCTGCTGCTGAGCTGTCCAAGGGCCACTTCAGAGGATATCCCAGTTCTGCCAAAGTCAAATGGTAAAGTCCTATCAACTTCACTCTAGCCAAGATTTCACCCTGTCTTTAAGCTGCTGGGGGATTGTACCAAATCACTCAAGGAGCTTATAGGTGCCTTTCTCCATATTTCCAGAAAACTCAAGAAAACCCCAGTTTCACTTGCTGGAGAGCCAATGCTCAGCATAAGGCTTGTTCCTGAGAGCCCCAAAGTACCCCCAAAGGAAGAGTAAAGTGGTTCAGAGCATAAGCACAAGCTACACCCTGGACAAAATGGGATACCACTGCACAGGATAAGGCAAGCTACAGCCTGCTTGCCCAGTAACAGGTGGACAAAGACTGGGTCAAAGGCAGAAAGTAGTCATGACTTGTGTGTCTGCTCATGGGAAAATACCCCCCAAGCAGAGCTCTGGCCCCTACAACCCTCCATTCCCTCCCCTCCCCCTAACCTACAGGCACACCCAGATATACCACCCTCACTCACCTGGACTTCTCTCCTCCTTTCATGTGTCTCTTGAAGAATTCCTCCCGGTTCTTTTGCAGGATTTCATCCTTGGTCAGTTCCTCCCTGTCCCCAGCTGATGTAGGAGGGTTCTGCTTTGCAACTGGGGCTGCTTTACTGGGGACTGTAGCAGCCTCAGTTCCTGAAGCTGGATAAAAAAGGGCCCTCATCAGAATGTTCACAAATAGGTGATCAAAGAGAAACTGACTATGTAAGCACTTAAAGGGCAAGGGCAATTTGCTTCTGGGATACCCTGAAACATCAGCTAAGCCAGGCAAAACATTCTGCTCTCTCCCAGGACTTGCACTGTTATTACAGGACTACTCTCAAGGAGGCCATCTTCTGCAATCTTTAGAATCACAGAAGTAGGGTCGGAAGGGACCTTGTAGATCTTCAAGTCTGACCCCCCGCCTGGGTGGGAGAAAAGACTGGACTCAAATGAGTCCAGCCAGGTAGTCATCAAGCCTCTTCTTAAAAGATCCCCAGGGTAGGAGCCAGCACCACTTCCCTTGGAAGTTGGTTCCAGCTCCTAGCCGCCCGAACTGTGAAGTAGTTCTTGCGGACGTCTAATCTAAACCTACTCTCTAATAATTTGTGTCCATTGTTCCTTGTCATGCCAGGGAGCGCTAGGGGAAACAGTGTCTCCCCTAAACCCTTCTGGTCCCCCCTAGTGAGTTCATAGACAGTCACCAGGTCCCCCCTCAGCCTTCTCTTGTGAAGGCTGAACAGGTTTAGGTCCTGCAGTCTTTCATTGTAGGGTCT